GCTATGGGGCGCTATGGGGCAGGCCAGCCCCACGGAGCCCATGTAGAGCAGCTCCCGCTTGGCGATGGGCACGCACCGCTCGGGCAGCACCTCCATCATGCCTGCGGGCCGATATGGGGCGCTATGGGGCGCTATGGGGTGGCTATGGGGCGCTATGGGGCGGTTATGGGGTGCTATGGGGCACTATGGGGTGGATATGGGGCACTATGGGGTGCTATGGGGCAGCTATGGGGTGCTATGGGGTAGATATGGGGCACTATGGGGTGCTATGGGGCGCTATAGGGCTCCTATGGGGCAGCTATGGGGTACTATGGGGCAGTTATGGAGTGGCTACGGCGCTCTATGGGGCACTAAGGCACGCTATGGGGTGGCTATAGGGCGCTATGGGGCAGCTATGGGGCAGACAACAGTGCGGGTGACGCTACAGGCGGTACCCAGCAGGTCGAGCGAGCTCTGGTGGTTGCTGACCACCACGTAGGGGGATATGGGGATGGAACAGGGGGTGACGCTATGGGTGACGCCGCGGGTGATGCCGCGGGTGACGCTACAGGCGGTACCCAGCAGGTCCAGCGAGCTCTGGTGGTTGCTGACCACCACATAGGGGACACGGGGACGGAACAGGGGGTGACGCTATGGGTGACGCTACGGGTGACGCTACAGGTGACGCCGCGGGTGACGCTACAGGCGGTACCCAGCAGGTCGAGCGAGCTCTGGTGGTTGTGACCACCACGTAGGGGGACACGGGGATGGAACAGGGGGTGACGCTGTGGGTGACACTGTGGGTGACGCCGCGGGTGACACTATGGGTGACGCCGCGGGTGACGCCGCGGGTGACGCTACAGGCGGCGCGCGCGGTACCCAGCAGGTCGAGCGAGCTCTGGTGGTTGCTGACCACCACGTAGGGCTGCCGCGCCGGGAAGCGCTCCGCGCCGCGCACGTCCATGCGGATCCCGTAGAGGTGCTTCACGTGCTGCATGAGGCTGCGGATGATCCTGGCGGGACACGGGGGGCGCTGGGGGGACCCCGGGGGCCCCACAAGCTGCCCCACGAGTCACCCCACCATGGGGTGTCCCCGGATGCCACCTCCATGTCCCCCATGTCCCCCCATGTCACCCCATGTCCCCAATGTCCCCCAATGTCCCCCATGTCCCCCCATCA